CGGTCTTTGGGGCTATTTAAAAGAAAGGATGAATTTGAAAGGGAATTGTAGGCTATCTTCGGGTTGGGGCTATTAAAAAGAAAGGATGAATTTCAAACAAAATTGTTCATAGGAAAGAATTTTCAGGATCGCAGGGCCTTGCAAGGAGGAGGTTCGTAGTTTGAACCAGTAACGTGGCCTCACACCAAAAAAAAAAAATGTGGGTTGAAACTATTTTTTCTTTCTTTGATTCATTTTTCTGGAGTATCAATCTCGCCATCTATTTATTCGAAGTTGTCAGAAATCTCCGATGCTATAACATGCAAGATACATTCAGGTGGGGCGACATTCCAAACCTGACAGAGTTCATGACTCACGCCCAGTTTAGCTAACATATGTGCAGACCACAGCATCTTCTTAGGTCTTCAATCAGAGGCCTTTTTGCCGACAGGTTCGTTTTCCCAACATGCCCGCCACTTCTTTGTTCAGTTCTTCTTCCTTTCTTTAACTCAATTGTTCATTTTGCAAAGACGTGTACAAGCACACTCCGTGACATGAAAAATAAGGATGACAAGGCGTGATATTCAGTGCAACAATCGAGTAGACGGGCACCATAGAATACCTCTCCTCTCCCGTTTACAATATCAAGAACTCCAAATCCTGTGGAGTTAGTTACTCATGAACAGCCCCCTAAAAAAAGTTACTTAAGAATCGTATTCGCACGTTTAAAATGTGTTTGTGACTTTTGAAAAATGTTGTGAAATTTTTAAAAAAATTTCATACAATTTAAAATATTTGTGCAGTTTCCACAGAAGTGATCACGTATTAAAATAATGTTCATATGATTCAAAGAATCAACCTTCTTTAAACTTTCATGTAATTCTAAGAAGTGTTCTTGTGCTTAAAAATTTATTCGTAGTTTTGAAAATATTCATGTTCTTTAAAAAATTCCATGTGATTCAAAAAGGATTTATGTGTTTAAAAAAATGCTGATACATTAAAAGAAACAAATACACAATTTAAAAGTGAGCGGGCATAGGGATGACGTATGGACTAGGTATATGTTGTAGCTCAGGAAGCAAGGTTGTCACATCCAACTCGACGAGATTAGTATTGAAAGTATTATACACTCACCTGCGTGACACGGTTCAATGACAAAACGTGTCGTGCGATGGTCGAGATCATCACCTTAAAATTGATCACGTCCGGACATATTACGATTAGCTGGATACCACGGTCATGATCGGTGAGGGCGGAAAGGAGTTTAACGGACAACAAAGGTGAGGCACTATGTTGAATTAGATAACATGGACCATTGAATTTGTGAAATCGTTCTTATTGTGATTGGAGCACGCGTTTTTTTCCCGTTGCAACCCACAATCATGTTTGCTAGTCTTTGCCTAATAATAAAGCAAATTGGGTTTCTTTCGTCCGTCATGGCATTTTTCAAAAAAGTCCCTCTATTTCAAATAATTCAACCCGCAGTCCTGTTTTAAATTAAAACGAATCGTTTTTTCATATTTTACACAAAAGTCCCTATGTTTTGTTGAAACCAACCCGCAGTTCGGATTTAAGTCACACCCGAACCGTTATTTTACATTTTTCGAAACACCCTGATGTTTTAGGTAATTCATCCGCGGATCATATTTAAGTCAAACAATATTTTTTTTAAATCATCCATATCTTTTAAACCGTAACTTCGATTTAAACATGTTATATATGAAATTTGATTAGAAAAATATGTAGAATATGAATATGAGATTATTTTCACCTGTTAAGTATTTTTAAATATTAATTTGAAATATATTTAAGTCAAATAAATGATTTTCTAAATTATCCGTATCTTTTAAACCGTAACTTAAATTTTAACATATTATATATGAAATTTTATTAGAAAAATATGTGGAATCTAAATATGATGTTAATTTTACCTGTTAAATATTTTTAAAATATCATTTTGGGAGCAAACTTATAGTTTATAGTGTAAGATCTGTTTTCCTTTCGTACCGGCGGCGACCCGGATTGCAAATAAACACCCCACTATAACAATATAGGGAAAAAAACATCGATAACTACACATGCATACGTCTGAAAAATGTCGCAGGGGAAAACAACAGATTTCTCATCGCGAGAGTGAGAGAGAGAGAGGGAGAGGGAGGAGAGAGGGAGAGGGAGACGCCTTAGGATTAAACATATTCAAACACGTTTTTTTTGTTTTGTGTGAACACCGAGGCCATCGCCTGCGAGGGTGAGAAGGAGGATAAGCGGCAACACAAATATGATGGCTCCCAAAAATAAAGGAGATGGACCTATTGTGGTCTTGGGTGATGGTTGTTGGGTTAAGAATGTGTATTATGTTTTTTCTCTCGTTGCAACGCACGGGCTCTTTTGCTAGTCATCCCAAAATATCTATAGACTGTTACCAGCCGCAGCCTGAGCTAGTTCCAGTATACACTTGAGCAGAGTTAGAGCATGGTCCAAGCTGCCGCATAACCTATGCCTCTGTGAATATGTCGCACCATCCATAGTTTGCCACGGCCCGGTCTATCCAGATCTTGATGTTAGCCGGGCCCTGGCGATGATTATCATATGTATCTTGAAAGATCCACGAGGTAGCATAATTCCATAAAATCATAAATGGTGATTAAGCGACTTTCATGAGATGTAAGGTGTATCCAGATACTATGCTATGGTGGAAAATTGCGACATGGTCACAAGTAAAATGAGGGCGGGATTATATGCTATGCTAGTACTTGTTTTACGATGAAAACACGATTTTTTTTCAAATGCAAAGCAACGTGACTCTCATCTTTCAAGCGAGAGGACAAAAGCATAAAATTAGATCATTATATTTAAAATCGGCTTGTGTAATCGATGATTGGTCTACAAGTGAAGTGTGCAAAAGCAAAACGAAGGGACCTAGAAATGACCTCCGCCTCCTTGATAACCCACAAGTGTAGGGGATAATTGTAGCCTCTTTCGATAAGTAAGAGTGTCGAACCCAACGAGAAGCTAAAGGTAGAACAACTATTCTCTCAAGTCTTATCTGCCACTGATACGACTCTACGCATGCTTGACGTTCGCTTTACCTAGAACAAGTATAAAACTAGAAGTACTTTGTATATGTGATAGGATAGGTTTGCAAGGTAATAAAGAGCACGTAAATATAAATTAGGGGCTGTTTAAATAAAGATGCAATAAAGTAAATAGAGCGAGTGTGGAAAAGTGGTGGTAGGAGTTGTGAAGTTGTCCCTAAGCAATTGACTACGTTGCTAGACCAGTAATCACTATTGCAATTCTATTTGAGGGAGAGGCATAAGCTAACATACTTTCTCTTCTTGAATCATATGCACTTATGATTGGAACTCTAGCAAGCATCTGCAACTGTTAAAGATCATTAAGGTAAAACCCAACCATAGCATTAAAGTATCAAGTCCCCTTTATCTCATACGCAAACAACCTACTTACTCGGGTCTGTGCTTCTATCACTCACGCCACCCACCATAAGCAAATCATGAACATATTGCAAACCCTACAGCGGGGATCCCTCACGCTTGCGTGACACGGAGAGCACCATAGGATAGCAACAATAATAAAACATGCAACTCAAATCAATCATAGCAATTCATCAATCACCGATAGGACAACGAAAATCTACTCAGACACCATAGGATGGCAACACATCATTGGATAATAATATGAACATAAAGCACCATGTTCAAGTAGAGGGTACAGCGGGTTGCAGGAGAGTGGACCGCTGGATATAGATGGGGGAAGGTGATGGAGATGTTGGTGAAGATGATGGAGGTGTTGGTGAAGATCGCGGTGATGATGATGGCCCCCGGCAGCGTTTCGGCGCCACCGGAAGCAAGGAGGAGAGGGCCCCCCTTCTTCTTCTTCCTTGACCTCCTCCCTAGATGGGAGAAGGGTTTCCCCTCTGGTCCTTGGCTCCCATGGCTTGGGAGGGGCGAGAGCCCCTCCGAGATTGGATCTATCTCTCTGTCTTTTTTTGTTTCTGCGTTCTCAGATTCTGCCCCTTCACCGTTTCTTTTATATCCAGAGATCCGTAACTCCGATTGGGGTGAATCTTTCACCCAGATTTTTCTCGTAAAATTAGCTTTCTTGCGGCAAAAGAAGAGCATCAACCGCCTTACGGGTGGCACAGGAGAGTGCCAGGCGTGCCCAGGGGGAGGGCGTGCCCCCCTATCTCCTGGCCACCTCGGGCACCGTTTCGCGTTGATTCTTCCTCCGGAAAATCCCAAATATTCCAAAATAATTCTCCGTCCGTTTCTATCCTGTTTGGATTCCGTTTGATATTGGGTTTCTGCGAAACATAAAACATGCAACAAACAGGAACTGGCACTGGGCACTGGATCAATATGTTAGTCCCAAAAAATAGTATAAAAAGTTGCCAAAAGTATAAGAAAGTTGAATAATATTGGCATAGAACAATCAAAAATTATAGATACGACGGAGATGTATCACTCCTCCGTTGCTCCTCCTCCTCCACCACCTCCCCGATGTCCCGCCTCCGGCGCCGCTCCTCCTCCACCTCCACCTCGCCGCGCTCACGCCCTTGGTCTCCCCAGGCCGCCTTTGCCGCTGCCACACAGTGCGTCAGCGCTGGGACGCTCACCCCAGAACACGCACACCACCTGTTCGACGAATTGCTATGGCGGTACACTCCGGTCCTCGAGCGCTCCCAGGACGGCTTTCTTGCTGCTCTCGCCCGTGCTAGGTCCTCCGCGGTCTGCAGAGATGGCCCCGTGCTCGCGCTCGACCTCTTCAGCCGCTTGTGCCGCGAAGAAGCCGGCCCTCGGGTGGCGCCGCCCACAATCTTTACGTACGGCGTTCTAATGAACTGTTGATGCCGCACTCGTCGCCCGCAACTAGAGCTTGTCTTCTTCGGCCGTCTCCTCAGGAGGGGCCTGAAGACAAACACGATCGTCTTCAGCTCCCTCCTCAAGTGCCTCTGCCACGCCAAACAGACAGACGAGGCTGTCAGCGTGCTGCTTCATAGCATGTCCGAGCTCGGTTGTGTGCCTGATGCCTTCTCTTACACCATTGTTCTTAAGATCTTATGTGATGCTAGCAGCAGCCAGTGGGCGCTCGACCTGCTCCAGACTATGGAGAAAGGAGGAGGTGTCTGCTCCCCTGACGTGGTGTCATATACCACGGTCATCCACAACCTCCTTAAGGAAGGGGAAGTAAGCAAGGCATGCAATCTATACCATGAAATGGTGCAGCAAGGGGTTGTGCCTGATGTGAGGACATATAGCTCGATTATTAATGCGCTATGCAAGGCCGAAGCAATGGACAAGGCAGAGTTGTTCCTTCGTCAGATGGTTGATAAGGGTGTTCGGCCGAATAACAAGACATATACTAGCATAATCCATGGATATTCCACGTTGGGCCGGTGGAAAGAAGCTGGCAAAATGTTCAGAGAAATGACAAGCCAGGGTATCATACCAGATGTTGTTACTTGGACCTCATTCATGGCCTCCTTCTGCAAGCATGGAAGAAGCAGAGAAGCTGCCAAAATTTTTGATTACATGTCTTCCAGGGGACACAAGCCTAATGTCGTCTCATATTCTATTTTGTTTCATGGATATGGTATAGAAGGATGCTTTGCTGATATGATTAATCTCCTTAATTCAATGGCAAACAACGGTATTGTTCCCAATCGCTAGGTTTTCAACATTTTAGTTGATGCGTATGCAAAATGTGGAATGATGGATGAAGCTATGCTCATATTTTCTGGAATGTGCGGACAAGGAGTGACTCCAGAGTCTAGAATGGCTAGGCTGGCTGATGCTTTGAATAAGTTCAGTCAGATGATTTCAACTGATATACAACCGAACACAGTTGTTTATCACTCCCTAATTCAGGGTTTCTGTGCATATGGCGATTCGGTGAAAGCAAAGGAGTTGGTTTATGAAATGATAAACAATGGTTTTCCTCGTCCTAACATTGTGTTCTTCAGTTCAATAATAAATAGTCTATGCAAAGAAGGAAAGGTTATAGATGCACAAGATATCTTCAACTTGGTTGTAGAAATAGGTGAGAGTCCTGATGTCACTATATTTACTTCACTAATTGAAGGATTTTGCCTAGTCGGCAAAATGGAGAAAGCATCCCAAGTGTTTGATTCCATGGTATCAGTTGGCATTGAGCCTAATATTGTTACATATGGTACACTTGTTGATGGCTATTGTAGAAGTGGAAGGATAGATGATGGGTTGATTCTATTCAGAGATTTGCTTCACAAGGGAGTTAAACCTACAACAATTACATATTACATCATACTGGATGGGTTATTTCTTGCTGGGAGAACAGTTGCTGCCAAGAAAATGTTCCATGAGATGATCGGAAGTGGAACACCCGTGAGCCTGCACACATATGATATAATTCTTGGAGGTCTTTGTAGGAATAATTGTGCTGACGAAGCGATTACCCTGTTCCAGAAATTAGTAGCGATGAATGTGAAGTTGGATATTACAATACACAATACCATGATCAATGCAATGTTCAAAGTTCAGAGAAGAGAAAAAGCTAACGATTTTTGCTGCAGTATCAGCCAGTGGATTGGTACCTAATGCTTCTACCTACGGTGTAATGATAAAAAATCTTATAAAAGAAGGATCAGTGGAAAAGGCTGAAAATATGTTCTCATTAATGGAGAAGAGCGGTTGTGCTCCAGACTCTCGTCTTATAAATGATATCATCATAATATTATTAGAGAAAGGTGAGATTGTCAAGGCTGGAAATTATATGTCCAAAGTTGATGGCAAGAGCATCTCACTTGAAGCATCAACTACTTCATTGCTGATACATCTCTTTTCAAGTAAAGGGGAATATTGGGAACAAATAAATTTGCTCCCTGTAAAGTACCAATTTTTTGATGGATTTAGTTGAGCAGTAGACAAAAAACCATTGGGGTGGTTTGGAGCTCCCTGTCACTGATGTCGATATGGGTTCTCATCAATGGAGAAGAGTGGCTTGGTACCTAATGCCTCTACCTACAGGGTAATGATAACAAATCTTTTAGAACAAGGATCACTGGAAGAATCTGAAAGTATGTTCTCATCAATGGAGAAGAGTGGCTGTGCTCCAGACTCTCGTCTTATAAATGGTATCATCAGAATATTATTGGAAAAAGGTGAAATTGTCAAGGCTGGAAATTGTGTCTAAAGTTCATGGCAGGAGCATCTCACTTGAAGCTTCAACTACTTCATTGTTGATATATCTCTTTTCAAGTAAAGGGAAATATCGGGAACAAATAAATTTGCTCCCTGTGAAGTACCAGTTTTTCAGTGAGGTGAGTTGATGCACTAGACTCAATAGATGCACATTGGCATAGTTTGAAACTCCCTCTTAATGATGTCGACTTGAGTTCTCTTCCTAAGGACATTGAAAGCACAAGTGCTCCCTGGGTGGTTTTGGTAATTAATGTCAACATATCTCTTGTTGGACTAACACTTTTACCTAGTATGTTTCAGACAAGTTCAACAATGGAGTGGCATGGACTAAAGGATGTGGAACCCCTTCAAGATGCTAAGGACAAAGGATTGGCTCAAGATTCAAGATCAAGACTCTACATTTTCTATTTTAGTGATCCAAGATCACATTGAGTCTATAGGAAAAGCCAATACTATCAAGAGGGGATGAGGTGTTGCTTAATGGCTTGCTTGCTCAAAGTGCTTAGTGATATGCTCCAAAGCCCTCAACTACTTTCTCAAATCCACATATGACCTAAACCTAAAGTCAAACTCGGCCCTACCGATTCTTTCTATCCGGCGCCACCGAGTTCAGATGTCATAGCCACTGCCACAAACCCTAGGAAAATCGGTCCCGCCGATAGGGATCTCGGTCTCACCGAGATGGGATTGTAATCTCTGTGTGTATGTCCATTACCAAAACCGGTCTCACCGAGTTTCAGCAATCAGTACTACCGAGATTACAATGCAAACTCTCTGGTTAACTTATTACCAAAATCGGTCCCACCGAGTTTGTGTAATCGGTCTCACCGAGATTACGTCATGCCCTAACCATAACCATATCAGTCCTACCGAGTTGCATGTCGGTCCCACCGAAAATCCTAACGGTCACTAAATTTGTTGAATCAGTCTGACCGAGTTTTTCAATTCAGTCCCACCGAGATTGGTAAATTGTGTGTAACAGTTAGATTTTGTGTGGAGGCTATATATACCCCTCCACCCACTCTTCATTCGTGGAGAGAGCCATCAGAACGAACCTACACTTCCAACTTGCCATTTCTAAGAGAGAACCACCTACTCATGTGTTGAGGCCAAGATATTCCATTCCTACCATATGAATCTTGATCTCTAGCCTTCCCCAAGTTGCTTTCCACTCAAATCTTCTTTCCACCAAATCCAAATCCTATGAGAGAGAGTTGAGTGTTGAGGAGACTATCATTTGAAGCACAAGAGCAAGGAGTTCATCATCAGCACACCATTTGTTACTTCTTGGATAATGGTATCTCCTAGATTAGCTAGGTGTCACTTGGGAGCCTCCGACAAGATTGTGGAGTTGAACCAAGGAGTTTGTAAGGGCAAGGAGATCGCCTACTTCATGAAGATCTACCGCTAGTGAGGCAAGTCCTTCGTGGGCGACGGCCATGGTGGGATAGACAATGTTGCCTCTTCGTGGACCCTTCGTGGGTGGAGCCCTCCATGGACTCACGCAACCGTTACCCTTCGTGGGTTGAAGTCTCCATCAACGTGGATGTACGATAGCACCACCTATCGGAACCACGGCTCAAAAATCACCTTGTCTCCAAATTACGTTTGAATCCTCCAAACACTTCCCTTTACATTCTTGCAAGTTGCATGCTTTACTTTCTGCTGCTCATATATTCTTTGCATGCTTACTTGATATGTGTTGTGATTGTTAAACTTGTGCCAGAACTCCACTTGAACTTAAAGAAGTTAAAAACTGCAACTTTTGATACTTAGTGTCTAATCACCCCCCCTCTAGACACCTCTTCTCGATCCCTTTCAATTGGTATCAGAGCTTTGGTCTCCATTGCTTTGGTTTAAACACCATTGGAGGAAGATGGATGAGTCTACTATTGGGAGTCTTAGACATAGAGTGCCTATACTTAATGGAGAGTACTTTCATGAGTGGAAAAATGAGATGCTTGTGATTTTCAATCAATATCATTTGAACAAGTACATTGCTAGCCCTTGTGCACCTCATGTTGATCCTATGCATCCTACCCATGATGAGTCAATTGACATGATTCGCAATCTTAGAACTGCCGAACTTATCATTAGAGGCTTGCCTAGAAACTTGATAGGATGTTTGCCTACTCTTAAGTGTTCCTACACTATATGGAAATTTCTTGAGGAATGCTTTCCAAATTATTCCTTGAAAAACCTAGATGAAATTCTCCATAAGTCTATTGCCTTGAGTAATATGAATTCTAGTTATCCTATGTTTGGTATTGTCTATTTGAGCTTACAAACCTTATGCGTGCCAAAGGAGATGTTGGAATTATTAGTGATATTATTTCTGAAGCTATAAAAATTCATAAACAAGATCATTGTCAAAATCACTCTAATGAATTACCCTCTCTAGGATTTGATCCACCACATGACGATGTTGAACATGGATACTATGATGAGGATGATGATAGTGACTTCGATCTTGATGATGCAATGAAACACTTTGGTCTTATGGCAAATCTTTGGGGATATATGGCAGGAGGAAAGGAATGGGTTCTTGATAGTGGATGTATCGATCACATGACCGGAGATAAAGACATGTTTCGGGAGCTTGCTGAAAACGATCGTCCTCGAAAGTATGTCACTTTCGGTGACAACTCAAAGGGTAAGGTGGTTGACCTCGATAAGGTGGCCATATCACATGATAGCTCCATACAAAATGTCATGCTCGTTGAATCTCTTGGCTACAACTTACTTTCAGTATCTAGACTTGCTGATTTCGGTTTCAATGTCCTATTTACTGAAGTAGTTTGCCAAGTGTTTCATAGAGATAATCATAAAATGGTCTTTACCGGTGTACGTAGAGGTGATCTATACATTGTTGACTTCACTAAAAAGGCTCAACCTAGAACTTGCTTTATTGCTAAATCCTCTAAAGGTTGGTTATGGCATAGATGATTAGGTCATGTTGGTATGTGAAACCTTGACAAGCTTATTAAAGGAAATCATATCCTTGGAGTTAATGATGTCATATTTGATAAGGATAGACTTTGCGGAGCTTGCCAGGTAGGTAAACAGGTTGGAGGAAGGCATCCCGTGAAGAACATCATGACCACAAGGAGGCCACTCGAGCTACTTCATATGGATCTCTTTTGTCCCAATGCCTACAAGAGTCTTAGTGGAAATTCTTTTGGTTTAGTTATAGTTGATGATTTTTCAAGATTTACGTGGGTGTTCTTTCTCGATGATAAATTGCAGGTTCAAAAGATCTTCAAAAACTTCGCTAGGAAGGCCCAAAATCAATTTGAAGTGAAGATCAAGAAGGTTCGCAGCGACAATGGAACGGAGTTCAAGAACGCAAATGTGGACACCTTTCTTGACGAAGAAGGGATTTCACATGAGTTCTCGGCCACGTACACACCTCAACAAAATGGAGTTGTTGAGAGGAAGAACCGGACGCTCATCGAAATGGCGAGAACGATGCTTGATGAGTACAAACGCCG